ACTGCAGAAAACGAGGTAGGAAGAGAGCCTTAAGAGAAACTTTGGAGCAAAATAAGATGGAAAAGGAAGAGTTTAAACAATGAGAGGGAAGAAAATGGTAGTCACAAAAGATGGGTAAAAGTGGTCCAAGAAAATTGATGCATCACTGGACTCCACCTCTGAAACTAATAATACACTCCATGTTCATTAATTGAGTTTAAAATTTAAAAAGTGGTACAAGAAATGCAGTTATCCTAAAACAAAGAGAACGAGAAAAAAATTCAGATTTCTAGTTCAAGGAAACTTTGCTGAAATAAAGCAAGATGCAAACTCACTGTGCAAAAATTTACCACAGAAAGCTTGAGAAAGGCTGATTAACATCAAGACGTATCACAGTGAAGCAAATAGACTTGATAATTTTAAAAATATTATTGGCACCTGGACCAAAAGAACCCATTGCCTTGCATCAGACAGAATGGGCTAGGTTATGGTGGTAACAAGTATCCCCAGATCTCAGTGGGTTAAAACAGTAGAACTTTATTTCTCACTCATGCTACACTGTCCAACGTGGGTGAGTTATGAGGCTCTACCCGTCACAGTCACTTGGATTGATGGTGCAGTCTCCATCTACAACTTGCCAGTTACCATGCCAGAAGGAACGAGAGCTCTGCACAATGTCTCACTACAGGAATGACTCAGGCTTGGAAATGATACATGTAAGTTTTGCTCACACGGCCCTACACAACCACAAGGAGACTCTGGAAAGTATAACCGTACCACATAAAGGGAAGTAGGAGAGCTAGAAATATTTTTAAGCAGCACTAATGACCACCACATATCAAAAAGGGAGAAAACATTAGGCTGACTTTGGGTCTTTCTGTACAGCAATATAATATTGAGGCAGAAAGCTAAAAAGAGCCCTGCCCCTACCATTTCAACAACCAAAACACTGAACGTTGCAAATTCACAACTTAATATGAACCCATGAGACAGCTGAGGTCCCAAGGTAACCAACCCACCAAAATTCGAAGGACATGAGAATTTCCATGTTGAGAAGCATGAGCACCTGTTCACCTGGGCAGATGTTTTAGTGGAAAAAAGGTGAACAGTGTGCGGGGTCACGTAGGTAATTCAGCAGAGAGAGGGAGGAGGCTATATGGAGAGTCAGATGGCTAGGCATAGTCACAGAAATGAAGGATGTCTTTGATTGGGGCATCAGCAGGCTCAGCAGAACTGAGAGAGAGCTGATCAAGTGTCATTTATGTTGGGAATGCAAGGCTGGTCCACCATTCAAAAGTCAACCATTGGGGCACCTGGGTGGCTCAGTGGGTTAAAGCCTCTGCCTTCGGCTCAGGTCATGATCTCAGGGTTCTGGGATCAAGCCCCACATCAGGCTCTCTGCTCGGCAGGGAGCCTGCTTCCCCCTCTGTCTCTGCCTGCCTCTCTGCCTACTTTTGATCTCTCTCTCTCTGTCAAATAAATAAAATCTTAAAAAAAAGGTCAACCACTGTTTTTCACCACATTAGCAAACTAAAGAAGAAAAGGCAGATGAACATCTAAGTCAATGCAGAAAAAGACAAATTTAACATCCATCCATGATTTAAAAACAAAACAAAACAAAAATTCTCAGAAAACAAGGAAAAGGAGGGAACTTCGTAACCTGATAATGAGCATCTATGGAAAACTTAGAGCTAACATTATATTTAATCCCGAAAATCAGAAACAAGGCAAGGATGTATGCTCTCAGCACATCTATCCAACATTATACTGGAGGCTCTAGTCAGTGCAATAAGGCAGAAAGGAAGAGAAAAAGAGGGAGGAAGGGAAGAAGGGTGGGAGGGAGAGAAGGAAGAGGGAGAGGAAAAAAGAATTAAGAGGCTCCCGGACTAGAAAGGAAAGTATGTAACCACCTCTCTTTGCAATTCTCATGACTGCCTACATAGAAAACCCAAAAGAATCTACAAAAGAGCTCCAGAACTGCTGAGTTTAATAAGAGCATAGGATACACGGTCAGTAACAAAAACCAAATTTCTATATACTAGCAATGAACAAGAAACAAGTAAAACGTTGAAGTACCATTAAAATAGCACCGAAATTAAAAATAGAGCTTCCCTATGACCCTGCAATTGCACTACTGGGTATTTACCCCAAAGATACAGATGTAATGAGAAGAAGGGCCATCTGTACCCCAATGTTTATAGCAGCAATGGCCACGGTCGCCAAACTGTGGAAAGAACCAAGATGCCCTTCAACGGACGAATGGATAAGGAAGATGTGGTCCATACACACTCTGATGGAGTATGATGCCTCCATCAGAAAGGATGAATACCCAACTTTTGTAGCAACATGGACGGGACTGGAAGAGATTATGCTGAGTGCAATAAGTCAAGCAGAGAGAGTCAATTATCATATGGTTTCACTTATTTGCAGAGCATAACAAATAACATGGAGGACATAGGGAGATGGAGAGGAGAAGGGAAATTGGAAGGGGAGATGAACCATGAGAGACTATGGACTCTGAAAAACAATCTGAGGGTTTTGAAGGGGCGGGGGAGTGGGAGGTTGGGTGAGCCAGGTGGTGGGTATTATGGAGGGCACGTATTGCATGGAGCACTGGGTGTGGTGCATAAACAATGAATTCTGTTATGCTGAAAAGAAATAAAAAAAATAGCACCAACACACATGAAGTAGTGTAAGCATAAATATTATAAAATATGTTAAGACCTATATACCGAACACAGTACAATACCGACGGAATGTAAAAAGGCCCAAGTAAATGGAGGTCTATACCATGAATATGCCAGTTCTCTCCAAATTGAGATATAGAGTCAGTGCAATCCCAGTCAAAATCCCAGTAGGATTTCTGGAGAAACTGATCAGCAGATTCCAAAATCCTTGTGGAATGCAGAGGAACTAGGCTAGCCAAAGCAATCTGGGAAAAGAACAAAGTTGAGGGCTGGCAGTAAACAGACTCTCATTTCAAATGTTCTCTCATCCTTCTGACCCCACATGAAATTCAGCTCCCCATCCCCCACACTTAAGACCATTGTTCTCCCCACAGGCCCTCAGCAGAGGGCCAGGCTGCTCACGTCTTGCCACTTCCAGACCATTGGCCCCCTACCTCAATCATGAATCCTCTCTCATCTGACCCTCATGCCACCAGCTCGGTTTGTCCTGACCCCTACTCAAGTTTTTAAAACAAACTTATTCAGAAGTTTGGTGTAGTCTTCTGCCTTCAACTCTTACAACCATATTGGGCACTCTGAACACCCACGGGGATGAGCCATTCAAGGAGACTCCCCAGCATTGACTTGAACTCTTTAAGTATCCTTCACCTCCTTCCATTTTAGCTAGCCCCTCCCAAGTGGCTTCCTCATCAGGACACTAGAGCAGTGGGTCAGGAGGGACCACAAACTCACTAGCTCAACCTGGGCCTTCTTAGAGGGAGCACTGTTGTTCCAACACTGCCTTCCCAGCCATAGCCACCTCCTCTGGGGACAGTCAAAGAAACAGGTCCTGGGAAGCTCCCACAGAATGCAAGCATCAAAAAGGACCCCAAGGCCTTGGGACAGCAGGTCAAATACCACCAACCCATCAACTGAGTGAGATATAACTTAGATGTTTGACAGCCTCCGTGCAGTCATTGAGCTTCCAGAACTACAAGATTCCCCGGGGATTTGTCTGCTCCCCCAGGGTAGTGGTTGCACTATGATTTAATTATGATTACCTATTGTCTTGTTATGTATTTTTAAATATGGAAAGAAAAGGGGCCCAGATTGAGACAGTGACTTAGGAGCTGTCACAATGAGATCTCAGAGTTAGTGCTGGCTGCCCATGCCCCCATCCCAGGAAGACTATACAAGGCCACGGCTGACCCTGCACATGCCCCGTGACACCAGAAGAGAGAAATCATGGTTGTATGCACCATGAGGCAGCAAGACACACCTTGCAGGTAGGATAGGCCTGTGAGTGCTGCAGTCTGGGTTACCCAGAGCCTGCTGGATCTATCACTCTGGAGGGCTGCTGGACCGCTGAACTTGGCCCATTCCTCCCTGCAAAACGAGGCAGGTTCTAGGGTGCCGGGCCCAGTCCCACCTTGTACTTTAGGTGTATCTTTTATGTCTCTACGTCATTTCCCATTTGCCACCTGGTTTCACAGTGCCCTGGACCACCAGCAGGGAGCTCACCCAGACTAAGCCGTCATGCTGGTCAGCCTTCGAAAGGACTCTCAGGGAGGACTAATCCCAGGAGCCCAATTCCAGAGGGCGATGTTTTTCCCCCTTCTTCGCAGATGCCAGGGTGGATCTCCAGTCTCCAGATCCCCACATACTGTGTTCCTGATGCACATTCTCTAGAGCTCCCCACACGGTACAAATACAATTTCACCACCCACCAAGGATCCCTTTCACCTTGCTCGCATCCTTTTGGAAAGGTTTTCGCACACCTTTGTCCAGGGAAAAGAGAGAAACCAGGTTCATTGTTCATATGCATTTTTAAGCAGCCAATTTGGGTTTTGGAAGAAAAAAAACACTTGTTGGAAGAAAAAGCAAGGAACAATATAAACAACTTTCTATGTCATTTTATAAGAAATCAGATGCTGTACAAGAGAATAGACTGCCGTGGGAAATTGGAAAATGTCTTTCTCCAAATATCTTTAAAAAGGCAAAATAAATACCCATCTGTTCCCCGATGGCAGAACAGTAAAAAATGTTAGAAAAGCAACAGAACGCATCACAGCCACATTTGTAAAGACCTCTTTCAACCATGCATATCCTCCTTCACATATGTCAGAGGTGGGAAAGTGGGATGGTAAAAATGGAAAAGGAGGTCCAGGAAGCAACACCTTTACAGTGAAAATCTATAATCCTATAAAACATTCTCCGGAAAGACAGTCCCTCTTGCATTGAACCTAACCTGAAGTGAATTAAGGACCGGGACTATATCCATGAATAAAGTCTCCCGAAAATGTCTGTAAATGCATGGGATGGAATGCATGAATCAGGAGTGCCCTTGGCCATCACCTTCAACGTGAGCCTCACAGCGTTGCAGTCCTCCTGCAGTGGGTTCAGCTTCAGCGTCTCCCCAAGGTTGCTGCAGCCCGACGACTGGTGCTGCCTTTCGCAGCAGACACACACCTCGACACTGTCAAACTTAATCTAGACAGAGGAACACAGACAGATCTCACAATTAAAACGGCATTCTGCCCCGGGCGGGGGTACACTTGAGCTACACAATTCAGATCATGTGAAAACGCACCCCACTTCCGTTTTCCTTAAGTAATCAAGCCAAAATGATTTTTATTTGGACAAAAAAATGGGACCAAAAAAAAAAAAAAACCACCAAAAAAAAAACCACAAAAAAACCCCACACCCCAGTAGGAATAACTTCATGTTCCGATTTAAAAAGTGATGAATTAAAAGGAATACATGTGGAGTGACCGAAGTTATGAAGTTACAATTTTGGGTGAGCTGCAGAAGGAGATTAAAGTAAAGGAACGGAAAACTGCTCATGCTGAGGTATGCATGGAGATGTGTTCTCATGGCTCTGTGCCTTGGTTTACCAGTGCTGCTCCCGTGGTTAGCAGTTTCCTGACTCACTTCCTGGCCTACCAAACTCCTACTCATCCGTTAAGACCCAACTCCAGTGTCATCCTTGAGACCTTGTCTGGTTTTCCCTCTCTGGAGCTGCTTGCCTCTCCCCTGGACAGCACACTCCCACCCCAGGTCTGCTGGAGACTTTTTTTTTTTTAATTTTTATGTTTTTTAAAGATTTTATTTATTTGTCACAGAGAGGGAGAGAGAGAGCACAAGCAGACAGAGCAGCCGGCAGAGGGAGAAACAGACTCCCCACTGAGCAAGAAGCCTGATGAGGGACTCAAACCAAGAACGCTGGGATCATGACCTGAGCCAAAGGCAGATGCTTCACTGACTGAGCCACCCAGGCATCCCTGCTGGACACTTGTGTTGTCCAGCTACAGATTCTGTGTCCTGCGTGCCCCCTGAGGACAGTCACCACACGTCACCATCATAGCATCCATAATGCAATGAGGTGTGGCATTTCAATAAATGTTGAATAAATAAAAATGTCTTGGAAAATTACAAACCATGGGAAGAAAAAAAAGGCAATTTGAGGGTTTTAAAAAGCCTGGAGCTCAGCAGGAGATCCTCAGAGCACACGGCCATCCTCCCCCGGCAGCCTGACGTGGGACGGCTCAGCCCAGGCTGCAAAAATTAGCAATACTGCATTCTTCCATTCACTTGGTCCTGCATGCACCGCCCCCCCATTTCCTCCTTCCCACTCCTAGTCGAGCCCTCCACTGCACCTAATCGTTATCGCATGCACACCCAACTGCTCACAAACACAGACTTCCAGAAAGGAAAAGGAACAGCCACAGGTCAAGGGTATTGTCCACGGCCAAATTTTCATCTATTTTCAACCTCTGGATAGTCTGTCCCTTATTTGATGCTTCAATTTTTGCTCTTTTAATTCAGTCTTCTAACGTAATGCGTGACGGGCTGGTAGAAGAGGCTGGAGGGCTGGAGGCCAGCAGCAGAAGAGCCGTACCTGCGTAAACTATCACCCTGGACCTCCAGCAACCCAACTGACGGCAGGGGGCCTATAAAAGTCACCTTTGCCTTTCATGCTTTTAGTGATGTCACCAGACTCCAGAGCTGGAGTCCACGCTGAGCACGGAGTGCAGCCCACGAGCCCTAACAACATACCCGTAACAACAAACACCCCTCAGAGAAGGTACAGCCGGCGCCCACTCTGGGTATCTGCAGGGCCAGGCTGCTGGGTACAAGCCCTCCCATGACTCCCCTCCTTTGCACAAGGCAGCCTGTCCTGCCGAGCCACAGAACACACAGAACTCTGGGCGCCAAGTGGGGACAGCTGGGTCTGGACCCCTGAATCCCACACACTCAGATGTGTGCTCTGGGCAAGGCCCCTTCCCGACAGCTGGTCAGGGCTGAGGTGGCTGCAGGGACACTGTCCCATAACACACCCCTCGGACTGCAGGTTCTTCTCCAACTAGAGATGCCACGAAATGAAGAAGGGGCGCCTGGGTGGCTCAGTCGGTTAAGCATCTGCCTTCCTCTCAGGTCATGATCCTGGAGTCCCGGGATTGAGCCCCACATCGGGCTCCCTGCTCGATGGGGAAGCTGTTTCTCCCTCTGACCTTCCCCTGCTCATGTGCTCTCTCTCTCTCTCTCTCAAAATAAATAATAAATAAAATCTTAAAAAAAAAAAGGAATGAAAAAGTACATTTGGAAAGTACAACAGTCATTCCTCTTGCCTGGGAAAGTGTTTTGTGTTGGTCTCAGCCTATTGAGAGTGATGCTACCGGCTAGGAGAGGCTGGGGGCATTCACCTGCGCCCCTGTTACCTGTGATGAGTCCCCAGAGACATGACCCTGACTGGACCTAATGTTGTGGCTAGACCAGCCCTTATGGTTCTTAAAACAACTGTAAGACGGTCCTCAACAACACTCATCAGGGAATTTTGATAGAATAAAGCCTATTAGTCAAAGTTTCCGGAGGGTACCCCGTACACCCAGGGCCACTTAGGGATGCCACCGGTGGCTTTGCCTTTGCTGTGATTCAGGGTGGGGTAGATGCCCAGGATTTCATAGGTTCACTCTTAAAACATAAGAGCAAGTATTAGGGCACTGGAAGGGAAAAGCAGGGTCACTCAAGAGGTCAGTTCTTTGGGTCACCCAGGGCTTTCTAAGAGGGAATCTTCAAGGCTGGGGTGGCCTGGCTCCTTATCTCATCATGTAGCTTATAACTGTGGGCAGTGTGTTTATTCAGGATGGATGGCTTTGAAATGAATGCCTCGATAATCAAAAGCCTAATGTCAGGCACATACACTATAGAGACTCTTTCCCCAGAGCCCATTCCCTTTCCCCTGGTGTCCCCCGCATTTTCCAGGGCTCAACTGCTCAGGGAGGCCTCCCACCACCTTCCTTAATGCCTTCCGCCTTCCTCTGTTCTCTCCCTCCCTCGGGCCCACTCCTGGTCCCCCTCACTCTTCTGCTTTCTCCTCTGACCATGGCATTTACCACCTCCACACATGCCCTAGGACTGGTTCATTCTGTTCATTTTCTGTTCCACGCATCAAGAATATAAGGGGGCGCCTAGGTGGCTCAGTCATTTAGGTGTCAGCCTTCAGCTCAGGTCATGATTCCAGGGTCCTGGGATCAAGTCTGGCATTGGGCTCCTTGCTCAGCAGGAAGCCTGCTTCTCCCTCTCCCCTATCTCACTGTCTCTCTCTCTGTGTCAAATAAAAAAACAAAATCTTAAAAAAAAAAAACAAACAAACCCCAAACGAGTGTAAAGCTAAGATTTGGATCTGTGTTATTCGCAGATGCACAGGAGAACCTACAACAGCTCTGACTGGGAATGGCTTTCTCTCTCGATCTCTCCACAACCTGCCTGCTACTCCCGCTGGAACAATATGAAAAGATCCTAGTTCCCATATTTCCCCTGAAAGGGGCAACACATTATGCTGTCCACTAGCCTCATTGGCCTAATTAGCTTATCGTGTCATACTCTTAACTGTGGGCATAAAATAGCCTAATGCTAGAAGAGGAAGGAGAAGATAATTTGGGGGGAGCAGGGAAGGCTAGCTAAGTCTTCAATGGAGCAAAAAGGCCTAAAACAAGATTCTCATGGTGCCCATGGCTATGTCTGCATAAACTTGAAATGGTGTCCCATGTTAGATTATCTATCTAAGTATCCCTGCTCTGAATTCAAAGCCACAGCCCAACACTTTCTAAAGAGTGCACATTTTTTTCAACTGAAAATTAAGATTCTATAATAAGGGAAAATCTATTTAAAATACAGGAAGTACCTAGTACCTCAGGGAATGCTCAAGACCAACCATCACCCACATGAGTAAATGCATAGCCCAGCGACTTACTGAGACCAATACTGTCATGGTGGGGCTGCGATTTGATTTAATTTTAATGTAATTTAATTTAAATGTAAAAAAAAATCCCTACACAACCTTTAGAAAAAAGCACTGGAGAAGATCTTTAGGATCTAAGGCTAGGCAAAGAGTTATTGGAGCGACACCAAAAGTATAAGAGCAAAAATGGAATTTTATGCTATAAATGACCAGTTACGAGGATGAAAGACATACTATAGCTTATGAGAAAATATTTCCAAACTACGTATTTCAACAAAACCATAGACTACATATGATTTCTGTCTTTTATTCTAAAGTTTTAACTGTTTTGTTTTATTGCTTGCTTAGTGTCCTCTCTGCCCATCTCTAATCCACCCTCAATCTCGCCAGAACTGAAAATATCCTGAATATGATCTTACACATCCGAGGTTCTGTTGGCTTTATTTTCTTCTTAGAGACCGCTGCACTGAGCCCCTATCTTCTGCTTTAATCTGGACTAGTTAATCCATAGGCAGTCCATACATGCTGGTCATGTACATGTTGGGAAATCCTTCTGCCCCCGTCTCTCGGGGCACCTGGGTGGCTCAGTCCTTAAGTGTCTGCCTTTGGCTTGGGTCATCATCCCAGGATCTTGGGATCAAGTCCCACATCATTCTCCTTGCTCAGCGGGGAGTCTGTTCTCCCTCTGCCTGCCGGCTCCCCTTGCTTGTGCTCTCTCTCTCCCTGACAAATAATTAAATAAAACTTTTTTTTTTTTTAAAGTCTCTCTCTTGGGGCGCCTGGGTGGCTCAGTGGGTTAAAGCCTCTGCCTTCGGCTCAGGTCATGGTCCCAGGGTCATGGGATCGAGCCCCACATCGGGCTCTCTGCTCAGCAGGGAGCCTGCTTCCTCCTCTCTCTCTGCCTGCCTCTCTGCCTACCTGTGATCTCTATCTGTCAAATAAATAAATAAAATCTTAAAAAAAAAAGTCTCTCTCTTTCCTGTGTTAGATCCCCTCTTCTCCTGTTTCTTGGCTTACAGTCTCACTGTGGGGAAGTAAGCTCCTTCAGGACTTTTCTGGCTAAAATTTAAGACTGCAAATCCCAAGTAAGCCAGGATGGGGAGCACTGGGGACCCTCATACATGTCTAGTAGGTGCGTAAATTGACACAACCCCTTTGGAGAATGGTGAGACATTATCTACACTGTAGTATGAAACTTAGGATGAGCTTGATATTTCTACCCATAGATATCTAACTGCTCCAGTACCAT